ACAATGATATGATTTTTTGTTCTTTGATGCCTGATACCTGATCCCATCGACACCTCATGATCACACAGGCTGGTGTGCTTCTTTCATGTGGGTGTTGTTGCTTCTAAGCTAGATGGCCACTTGTTTACCTTCAAGCCTTTAAGACCCCAGACGCTGTATCTTTTGATAGCTGGGCACCATCAGCCTCCGCACATTCTTTCTTGCCTGGCGGGGCTGTGTTTCCCAGCCTGAGTGTACACTCCTGGGTCACATGAGAAGTTCATCCATGATCAGGGTCTGCGTCATGGCCTCTCTCACCCCAACTCCCTGGAGCTGGGCATGTGGTGGGACTGGAGCTGTGTGTGGGCTGACCAGTGACTCTGGCAGCTCCTTAGCTCTTGCAGGTCACTGGGCATTAGTCCTGGGCCTGGGTGCCACCCCCCACTGACTCCTGCAGAAACGGAGTTAGGGGCTGGTTCAATGGCAGGAGGCAGCAGGATGTGTGTGTGTGGGGCGGGGTAGGGGACAGGGGATGGGTGGGAGGGTAGAGAATGAAGACTCCAGGAGACCCGGCTGGGAGCATGTGTGGGTGGGAGGCTTGGTCTAGGTGCTGTAGCCAGGCCTGAGGCTCTGCTGGCTGGGGCTAAGGAGTCTCTGTTTGGGGTCAGTTTTGTGAACCCTAAGGACATTTCCAGTTCTGAAGGGGATGAGTCTGCTGTGGCCCAGGTCCATCCTGATACCTGGGACAGTGCATGTCTAAGATTCCATAGTCCCTGTTTGCTTATTTGTGGGGAGCAGGAGGGGAGTATAGACCTCTCCCTCCCAGGCCTGGTTCCCCTGGTGTGTCCTGGGTGATGGGTGCTGCCGGCTCCTCTGGGCCCCGGGCCTGCAATCGAGTGACGCAGCTGAGGCATGCTGTAGCAGCCAGGATAAAGCCCCGCTGTGCTGGGAGGGAGGCACGGTTCCAGAGAGTATCGCCCTGCTGAGCTCACGCTGAGACAGGCCCGCCCTTGGCTCCTCTGACCTCCAGAACAGGAACCACACCGCATGTCTACCCCCTACCCCCCACCCCCGCCCTGCCAAGGAATCATGAGGCAGCCTCTAATTTGGGGCCAGACCCTTCCCCCCACCCCTTTAGCCCTCAGTGCTCAGCCAGGCTCTTGGGCTGTAGTCAGCCCCTCTGAAGTCTGGTCCCGGCCTGCAAGGCATTCTGGGAGAGTGGAGAGAGCCGGGGCTCTAGGTGCTGGTCCTGGGTCCGCAGACCCATGCGGACAGATTAGGCAAACCTCTCCCTGTGGCGGGTTCTCCCTCTGCCACCCCCACCCCATGGGGTTTTAATTCAAGGCCAAAGAGAACGATGCCAATTGGAGATGTGCTTGTGAGGCTGCCGGTGGCCCAAACCGTTTGCACCCAATTCTGAGGGTGCTCAGTTCCGACCCTCTACCCGCACTGTGGGCAAAGTCCCGTGGATCCCTTTCTCTCGAAGGTTACAGCCCAGCACCCCCCAGAGCCTTTGCTCTGTAGCTCAGGGGTCAGTTTGAGGTGGAACCTGGTCAATGGCCATGGGGCTTAGAGGGGTGTAGTGTCGAGGTCAGGGCTCAGGCTGGGGAGCAGACTCACAGGGGCTCAAATCCCAGTCTCCTCCCCTCCCCCTGTGGACCAGTGACTTGGGAAGGACCATGTCTCAAAACTTTGCCGCACCTGTGATGCACTGCAGGCCACACCTGTGGTGTCAGGAGACCAGAGGGTCTTAGCATCCTCTCCCGCTCCTGAACAGGATGAACGAAGCTGTCCATCCCTGTCTGGAATCTGTGGAGCCACAGAGGGGACCGGAAAACAATGTGGGAATGGCCGGATAGTATTGTTTTCCAAGTGGGAATTTTTGAGGCCATGGTGGGATCAGGGGTCATGGACTGAGTGGCCCCACCGTTTATAAGTGAGCAGGGCAGAGCCTGGGTGGTGGTGGAGAAGGTGTGTTGGGGGGCGTGGGGGGAAGAGAGCAGGGCCTGCATGGGGGTGTGGGAGGGAGGCTTCAGAGTATAGAGGGGGCTGAGGGGCAAGTGAGGGGTCTTTGACCTGGAAAGGTGAGGGCCAGTCTGGCCACGGAGAAGGGACACCTCCTGGTCATTACTTATGTTCCTTTGTGGCTGGTGTCCCCCTCCCCCCCCCCCAGATGAGAAAACTGAAGCTAGAGGGGCCATGCTGTGCCACCTGCAAGGGGCAGAGCAGGGTCTAAGTCACCCACCCACTCCCATCTGTCCCCCAATTGCTGGCTGTTTCACTTCAGTCCTGGGGTCAAAGGCAGCCCCTGAGAGTGAGGTTGGGTTTCTAGATTCTGGGTGGAAAGGATCTGAGACCACCCAGCCCACGGGAGGGACACGGGCTGGGAGCTCACCTAGGGCACAGGGCAGCTGACCCCGAGGATGGCACCGTCGTGGCCTCTCTCAGCCAAGGCCGTCACCGATGGGCAGGGAGCCCTTCTGACGGCTGACTCACTGCCTGGGGATGCAGTTGCCACAAGGCTGCTGGTGCCCGGGTCCCCTGGCCCTTGGGGCTCCGGGAACCTGAGCTGGCAGTCTTTGCCACCCCTCCTGAGTCACCACCGACTCGGCGTTTGTGTGTTTTTCTCGGAGCCCCACACCCCCTGCAGCAGGGTGTGAGCCCCGAGCCAGCCTCAGCCCTCGGCAGAGACGTGAGTGGAAGCCCCTGGGGGCGTGGGGCGGCCCGGAGTGATGAAACCCAGGGGAACCTGCAGTCAGCACTCGGAGGGCCCCGCCTCGCTGGGACGACTATAAAGCCTGCAGGGACTGCGGGGTGGCAGCATCTCCGGCACCTGCAGCTCTCACCCTCCTTCCTGCTCACCTGCTCTCACTCACCTCGACCTCAGCACCATGACCACCTGCAGCCGCCAGTTCACCTCCTCCAGCTCCATGAAGGGCTCTTGCGGCCTCGGCGGTGGCTCCGGCCGGGTCTCCTCCGTCCTGGCTGCAGGCTCCTGCCGGGCCCCCAGCGCCTACGGGGGCCTGTCCGCCTCCTCCTCCCGCTTCTCCTCCGGGGGAGCCTGCGGCATGGGGGGCGGCTACGGTGTCGGCTTCGGCAGCAGCAGCAGCAGCTTCGGTGGCGCTGTGGCTTGTGGCTTCGGTGGCGGCTTTGGTGGTGGCTTCGGCGGCAGCCTGGGAGGTGGCTTTGGCGGCGGTGTCTTTGGGGGTGGCGACGGCGGCCTCATCTCCGGCAACGAGAAGATCACCATGCAGAACCTCAACGACCGCCTGGCCTCCTACCTGGACAAGGTGCACGCCCTGGAGACGGCCAACGCCGACCTGGAGAGGAAGATCCATGACTGGTACCAGAAGCAGCGGCCCAGCGAGGCCAGGGACTACAGCCCCTACTTCCAGACCATCGAGGACCTAAGGAACAAGGTGGGCGGGCTGGGTGGGCGGAGCATTCAGAGAGGCCAGGGCTGCAGGGGTCCCCAATTTCTGGTCTCTCCATCTTATAAACTGGAAAACTGAAGCCCAACTGGAGTGGGGGGTTGGGGGGTGGGTGACCAACATCCTCCAGAATGGCTGGCTCAAACCCCAAACCAAACCTACTGCCATCCAGTGATGCTGACTCACCGTGACCCTAAAGCACAGGGCAGAACGGTTCCTGTGAGTTCCCTAGGCTGTCACTCTTTATAGGAGAAGAAGGCCTGTCTTTCTCCCGAGGGGTAAGCCGGTGGTTTCGAACTGCTGACCTTGCACTTAGCAGCTCGGTGTGCAATCACAGCACCACCGGGGCTCCTTTAGACTTGGTGACGGAGCGTCCTTTTCATCATCTCTGTGCCTGAGCTGGGGCTGGACCGTACAGCCTCTTATTCCCTTGGTGCGGGGGATCCTTTGCATGGCCCCTCAGACTCCCTCAGCCTAAGGCCCCGGATGTGGGTAGAGGGAGATTTGCAGTGTATCATCTACACTGAGTGGGGAGAGAAGGCATCCCACGGTGGGCCAGGCGAGGCCACCCCTCTGCCATCGGCCCCGGGAGACTGAGGGTGTTTGCTGACCAGGCCCCCTGTCTCTCGTCTCTGCCCAGATCATCAAGGCCACCATGGAGAACGCCCAGCCCATCCTGCAGATCGACAACGCCAGGCTGGCAGCCGATGACTTCCGGACCAAGTGAGCCGCTTCCCTGGAGGGAGGGCTAGGACAGGGGGCCAGGAGAGGGACCCCAGGGGGGCCAGCGGGCCTTGCGCCCCAGAGTCTGATGCTTCGACCTCTGAACCCCAGGTACGAGCACGAGCTGGCCCTGCGCCAGACTGTGGAGGCGGACATCAACGGGCTGCGCCGGGTGCTGGACGAGCTGACGCTGGCCCGCGCCGACCTGGAGATGCAGATCGAGGGGCTGAAGGAGGAGCTGGCCTTCCTGAA